TTTAAGTGTTTCGTGTGTGGTTTAACTTTGTTTTTGATTAATTTTTTTTAGTCTTGTTGGATTAGATTAAATATAATTAAAAAAAAAAAACAGATTATATACAAAAGTATTTAATGAAAAGTAGTTATAGTATTAGTATTATTGTTATTATTATTACATTGGTTGCTTTATAAGTGAGTCAAAGTCAATAATAATAATAATTGGGTGGTCAAATCAATTCTTGATTGGTATAATGCAAGACCATTGTATTTGAGCTGCTAAAATCATAAACAGGACATACAAATATTATTTTAATAAAATTCTCACAATAGACATTGTGATCTCCTCACTTTGATTCATCCACACAAGCCCACAATGATGGTAGAACTCAATTCTTATTACGCCTTTACGGAACTATTCCAATTACATATCGGGCGACATCTTACAATATTCCTGTTGCACTATGGATTCCAACTGAATACCCAAAGACTGCTCCTTTTGCTTTCGTAGTCCCCACACCTAATATGCTGGTAATGCCTTCTCAATATATTGATGTAAGTGGTAGATGTCATCACCCATATTTACAAAATTGGGGAAATCAAAACGAGGTTTGTTATAAATTTTTTTTTTTAAATTTTCTTTTTGGTATATAAAAATTATCTCCAATTTTTTTATTCCTTTTTCATATAGGAACCAAATATTGTTACATTTTGTTCAATTCTACAAGCAGTATTTAGTCAAACTCCACCGGTAGTTACAAAACTCACAACACCACAACATTCTACACATCCTCCTCCTTTACCTAAATCTCCAAATCTATCACCTGCATTACTACAATCTAGAAATCACAGTTACAGTGTGCCACCACCTGTTTTTCCTTTCCTTCCTCAACAATATAATTTTTCAGTAAGATTAATATTATTTATATATATATATATGGGGTTTGAAAGTACAAAAAAAAAACAAAAACAAATTTAAAACTCATACTAATCAATTAATATAAATATATTTAAGCCATCAATATCTGGTCAGCGGACACTTCAACCATTTCCACTACCACGTTCTTTAGAACCACAACCAAGCATACTTGATGCACCACCAGTGGTCATATCACAACCTGTACCATTACCTAAAACACAAAATCCTGAACTGATCAATTTACAAATTATGGTTTATGATAAAGTGAGAAGGAAATGTGAAGAATATGTTGAGATAGCATCACCAGAATTTCACATGATAATGTCTATTGGTGAAAAACTTAATCAGAATCAGATATTGATTGAAGAAGAAAGGAAACAATTATTTGAGTGTGAGACAAAAATAAAGAAAAAAACTGAAATTTTGAAAAATAAAATTTCAGAAATTGATAAACTTATTGAACATACTAGAAATATGCCTGAAATATCGGTTGATGACGTATTATGTGGATCCACCATTGTTTATAATCAGTTAATATATTTATTTTTTTAAAAAAAAATTTTCTTTTCGTAAAGTAATAATAATAATAATAATTTCATCTCATTTATATATATATAATATTAGATTATTTGATTTGGTGGCAGAGGAAAATGCAATCGAAGATGCAATTTACTATTTGGGAAGAGCATTAAATTCTGAAAGAATAGATTTAAATACATACATGAAGGTAAAGCCAGTGATTTTTTTTTTTACTAAAACTCATAAAAATACTTATATACATTTTTTAAAAATGTTATTAGAATATTCGAACTCTTGCAAAAGAACAATTTATGAGGCGGGCATTGATTCATAAAATTCGTAGACAAATAGGATTGGAGCTTGTGTAATTTCTTGAATTAATAAAATATTTAAATTTCAATTACACACAGAGATAATGATGCACTGGACATTTGTATCAAGTCGGTTTTTCTCAATAATTAATGTTTAATTATAAATAGATTATTATTGTTGTTGTTATGATTATTATTATTATTATTATTATTATTATTATTATTAATATTAACTTTTTATTTATTTATTGACATGTATAAATTCAAAGATCCTAATGAAACCATAATATATATATGTTGTAAATTAATGTTATTCTTATATATCCAGCAAGAATTTCATTTAAACTCTTGAACTTAGAGAAAATTTAAATATTATTATTATTAAATTAATTTTATTTCT